CTCCGCCGCCACTGGACGAATTTCGGAAACTAAAAAGCTTTTTCATGCTTGGCGTAGTAGTAACCTTGTGTGAAAATTTCATCAAAATTCGAGCCGTACTTCTCAAGTTATAGGCGGTTCTAAGATTAGACGACAGACCGACAGACAGACAGACCGATGGAAATGAATGACATTGTTTTTTGTGATGTATGTAAAAACATAATATGTCAATTTCGAAATTGTTCGCGATTACAAGTCTTCCTCGCCAGTTGGAGTAGGAAGTAAAAACAAAGGTCGAAATCCGTCAGATCTGCCATGATATTCAGATGTATTTTTCGACGCTGAATCTAAACCCTCGATCAGAAAAGTTCTTACATGTCTAGAATTCACCGAAAACTACCCCTAGGCGGAGTTGAAATTGAGTTTCGGATGCAAAATGGTATCAAGTATTTTTCGACGCTGGATCCGAATTTGTGGTCGAAAAGCTCTCTACATCCTTAGAGCTCACCTTCGGGCCCAAGAAGGATGAAATTTGAGTTTCAGATGCCAGATGCTTCAGCATTATATTTCCATGCATGTTTCAACGCTGAATCCGAATGTGTCGTCAAAAAAAATTTTCACCCCCTGCATTTGCCCCGGGACCAAAAACTACCACTAAAATGGGATGGAAATTTCCGGATGCCAGATGCTCAACCACGACATTCCTATGTATTGTTTAACGGTGAATCGGAATTTGAGACCAAACGAAATTTTTACACGTCCTGGACCAAAAACTGACTTCAAAATGGGATATCCCTTGCGTTCACCTCCGACGTCAAAGCTACACGTAATGGCGGGTGGAAAATGAGTTTCGAGTGATGGATTCTAATGCGTTGTATTGTTGGACGCGTGTTTCGGCAGCCTGGTGCATTTTTTCCCGCCGAACCCTAGAGCCCATTGGTCCTGGCTAGGGTTTGGCCATACATAAGTGATAAAATATGATATGTATAAACTCATTCCGTTAGCGTATATACATGTATGTAGCATGAACTATGTTCACAGCTCAACATATGTATATAGTCAAAATCACGAAAGATGACTATTACGTCATATCATAAATTGTACCGAAGTAATCAATGGACGTACGTCGTTGATAAAATCACGATGTCAGGAACATAATGACAACAAATTTATATTATGATTTTGCGAAGTTAGGTTATTTCACTGATTATTTTTATCTTCATTTTATTCCATGGTTTTGAGTGATACCTTAATAATAATTTTAGTGGGGAGTTTTTGTTTTGAAATAAACAGTTATGAGTAGAATACCTTAAGACAGGAACACCAAAGACCAAAGTATTATTAGAAAACAACCTAACCTGCTTTAATACAGGGTGGCGCATCGAAAACGAAAAAGACGCATTTACTGGCAGCTCAGTTTTTTTTTTTGAAAAACGCTCAGACCCGTCGATTTTGTTTTCGAGGGGGACACAAGTTTGGCAAAAAATCACGTTAGTACGTGCAGCCCCCTAAGCGGGGGTGACATCACCCTCAAAATCTTAAATGGAAAGGGGGGTCGAGTGATACCTTATTTCCCTTTATAATAATGATGTAAAATACATGAGCTTCGGTTTAGTAGTTTTGAAGATTTATTGATTTAAAGCTTAAAGTAGACTTTAATATGTACATCAGTACATCAGATTAGTTTGTACTACTTTCAGAAAAAGTTTGACTAAAAGAATTTACTTAATAAGTAAATGCTTTTCTTCACTACGCCCATGGCTTGTTTATCATTTTGTTGTTGAAAATAGCTATTGGAGCGTTTTTTTGTGACAGAAAAGTTATTTCTTGAAGAAAGATAAGGAAATATCTCGTACTTATTTTAAATAGGAATTTAGTACATAGTTTGCGATTGATTTGCCCAAACTTTGTTGCTAGAATAACTTGTAAACGCGTTATTACATAAATTAACCATGGTATATTCCGCAGCAGAAAGAGTTGAAATTATCGAAATATTTTTCGGAAATAATAAGTGCACTAATAGAACAGCAGAAATATTTAATGAGCGACATGAGAACAGTATCGTGCATCGAAAATATGTTCTAGAATTTTTAGCTAAATTTCGGGAAACTGGGTCAGTCGCCAAAAAAAAAACGCAACATTGAAAATCCCGTAAGGAACGAAGCAATAGAAGTGGGAGTTTTAGGGCAAGTTTATGTAGATCCTACGTTAAGTACCCGCAAATTGGAGACTGTGTGTGGTGTTAGTCGACGTACTGTCCAACGGATTTTAAAGGCCTATAGTTTTCATCCGTATAAAATTCACTTGGTACAAGAATTTAATGAAGACTGACAGCTGCCAGTAAATGCGTCTGTTAAGTTTTCGTTGCGCCACCCTGTATAACCTAACTATTCATCTTTGAAATATGATCGATCATGCAACATGTATATATTATCTTGGTCAGATATATACAAATTAGCAATACAGTTTGTTTAGGCAATAAAATTCTGTTTGTTTCTGTCTAACTTATCTGAAACTTCATTACAAATATTCCTACAAATCGCTGTCGTTAGTCTTTGCTACAAACTAAAATGATGACGTAATTGTCATCTTTCGTGATTTCGACTATACGTATGTATGTAGGGCAGACTTTTTACGGAGACATACATACGGTGTGTATTGTTTGTCGAATTCATCAAGTATGGACAGACCCTGGACGAGACCTCCGCAGGAGTATTACGTATCTTTAAAAGTGACATTGTCGTTTTTTTACATTATATATGTTTTTTGTGACATTAAGTAGGTTTTTCTACAAAATGTCAACTGCTGTAGCTGCTGTTTACTTGTTGTGCACTCGTTCTGTAGCTTTACGTGTTGCCTAAACGTCATGACGGTTCAGCTTTCAATGTTTTGCTCTAATGTGATGTAACATCTGCTTCAGAGAGAGGCATTATTGGAGGTCTAAGCGGTTAGTTGTATACTATAGATGGAAGGAAACGGGCGAAACGACAGCGAATAAGTGCTAATAATCTGTGCTGATGATAATTCCATTGGTTTCTTGTCTCAAAGACACTTACTTGAGATGTATGCAAAATTAAAAATTAGTTGCGCATCCGCTTTTTCTTATTCAACCTGAATATTACATATGCAAATTTGCTGAATTACAAAAAAGAGCGATAAGAAAAGAAAATCCCTGGTTGATGAAGTACATTAAAACAGGTGAGAAAATACAGTACATACCTGTACATGAATATTTATGAAGTGTAAAAAAGTTATTTTATTCCACATTAATTTTTATTTCCAGTCATTTAAATTTTATAGAAATATATTTTACGATGTCAGGTAGAAAATACAAATCAGCGCCTAGATGTGTTTTGTATGTGATGCATCCTTCCTAATTTTTCTGTGATGTGGCTTAATTACACACAACGCGGTGCGGTGCTGATTTCCGGTAATCGTAATATATAATTTTGAACTCCTCTCTTCAGAAATGATAACACAAATAACCCGTCTGGCATAGCTAACAGATCTATTTCATGGGCAGCATATTCAGTAATAATTTTCTCACATAGCAAATATCTCTGGTTTTACTCATAAGCAGACAAATATACACAATAATCCAGATGACCAACAAAGCATGATGGGGAACTTGCAGCTGGGAGTATGGTCATTAAGCGTGTCGCGTCGTTGAGTCATTCCTCCATAGATGGACGCTTTTGATGATGCTCACACCGCTCATAGCGAGCAAACGCGGAATGTACTATTTGCACACTAGACATTTAGACAGCAACTTGACATTTCGTTTATTTTTTTGCGTTTTATAGGTTTTTTTGAGGTAATAACCTTGCCGGTCATTTTCCATCGAAAGGTGCTCCGCTCTCTTTATCTCCCAAAAGAGAGCATGGTTTAATATTGAGCAAGTTGAGCCAAGGTCACCCCGAACAATACTGGATAAGCTGAAAGTTTTGGAAAACGTAGACAGGGTATTGTCCTCTGCAGCTAAATCTCGGCGTGGGTAGCTAATTTCAGGGGTGCAAACATGTCGTTGACCCCAAATTCAGGTTCAGCTTCTGGCATCCGAAACTTAATTTTCACCCCTCCTAGGGGTAATTTTGGGCAAGAATATCACGCCTACTGACGAGGAAGTGCTGAAAGCGAGAAAAAGTACATCACGAAAATCCATGTCACTTATCTATGCCGGTCTCTCTGTCTGTAGGTCCGTCGGTCTATCCGCTAATCCTTGGACCGCCTATAACTGGAAAGAACATACAGGATTTGGATGAATTTTTCAAACAAGATTACAACTATGCCAAGGAGAAAATCGATCCAGTGGCGACAGAGGTAGGGGAAAACAGGAAAAAAAACACTCAAACCTTATTTTGTGACATTTCAGAGGCTGATCATTTCCAGAAAAAATATTGTAGGGGTTGAACATCGGTGGTTGTAGAGGGTGGGGAAGGTATATCTAATTTTGTTGGCGACAGTATATTTATAAGCTTCCAACCCCAGTAATTTTACGCACCTATTAGTACATATATTATACATCAAAGATTTTCCTTTACATCTGCCCTTATAACTTATATTTCTAGACGAGTAGTAGTAGACTTTCATACGTCGAACCCTGCCTTGCGCCTGACAGTCACCGGCAGGGATGTTATAGAATCTTGACAGGCGCTTATGACGTGTTTGACTGGTGTGGTCCAGCAGCATTGCCAGATGGTCAATACTTAGGGCAGAGAAGAAACTAGCGTTAGTGTTATCAAATGGATGGAGCTTGTACTAATTAGTTGTGTATGGGCCTGTTTGGCTGATTTGATCTATTTAAATTTTTGATTATACATGTTTGTAGAAAGCTCAAATGAGCTAACTTGGACCGAACATAATCCTTTATGAGCAGATGACAGCGTTGCGAGGGTAGTGCAGAGTTAACCTACTTCACGCCATTTTTGTGGGGGGCTGTGTTACAAATATAAAAAATCGTAAAATGGTGATCTGTTTTAACCCTTTTGTATAACCCGGTTTTATTAAATAGTGTTCAAAATGGATAAGAATTGTACAAGACAGCTCTGCATACTTTAGTGTGGAGTATCCTGTCGGAAATGGAAACAGCAGCGCGAGAATTGCCCCTGGGATGGCTTACAATGTCAGGATCACCTTCAAACCTGCTAACGTCCAAGATTATTTTTACAAAATAACATTTGTTGCGGAAGAAGAACAGTTCGAGGTGCCAGTATATGGTAATTTTTATTTGAATTATATTTTCAATCTGGGAAAATAAAATTATATTGAATTGATCCTTATAGCTATTGGATACAGGCCAATTCTGAACCTACCAGACGTAGTTGCTTTAAAACCCACTGCAATAGGGGTAAGAATGTACAAAGCGCTGGCGTTACATAATTTCGGGCAAGCCACTGCTTTCTTTGTTACCCAATGCAAACCTCCATTTTCTGTGGAGCCTGAAAGAGGTGTCCTAAAGCCCCATGCTACAATGGAAATCAAAGTTATATGTACCCCAAACTGTTTGCGAGGATATTTGGAAGATGATATTTTCTTTGTTTGTGATGATATCCGCCTGAAGGTAAGTTATACAGGGTGTTCCTTAATGATATACGAATATTTAAGGGTGTGAATCTACATAAAAAAATTGATGTTAGATTGCTTTATAAACTATGGTACAAAAATGTTTCCTTACAAAAACTCGGTTGAAGTTTAGGAAAGACATGGAAATTAATTAATATATTCAGAACCGCTTCAGATATTTCACTGATACTCAGTACGTAGCGAAAGTTGATAAAGCTGCATATTTTTCAATGCAAAAATAATTTTTAGCTTTAACATTGGCGTGCGTACGGGTATTGACTTCGATACTTAAAAAAAAACGGTGCGCCAATGGTTTTTTGCCAAATAAAAACTATTTTTAAATTCCCCGTTCAATTTAAAAAAAATGATCTCTCTAGAATTATTTTCCTTCGATGCGCCATTTATAAGTAAAAAAATAAAAACCGTTCTATTGTCTAACTTGCAAAATTATTATTAATTTAATTGGGAAAATTAAACATATTAGGGGTAATGGACAACAACAACTGACAACATAAACATAACATTAAAACCAACGAAATGATTACAGAAATTGTTAAAAATGACCTCCTTCACTTAGTATGCATGCTTTTGCCCTTCTCATGGAATTGCACACTCGTTGAAATATCCCTGGAGTGTTTTTTATTCTATCGCAAGCTGCAACTATTCTTTCTCTTAATTCCTCTACAGTGTTAATAGGACTTGTGTACACTAGTGTCTCAAGATAGAATCACAAAAAGAAATCTAAACTGTTGAGGTCTGGGGTCCTTGGTGGCCATTCTTGGGGCCCACCGCGGCCAATCCAACGATCTGGATAACCAGTTTGTAAATAATTACGAACCGCTACACTGAAGTGCGCTGGAGCATCATCATGCATGTACCACCTGTTGCTTCCTATTACTAACGGAACATCATCAAGCAGCAAAGGCAACTGTTGTTGAAGAAAATTGATGTAAGTCTGTCCGTCAAGTCGACCCGGCAAGAAGAATGGGCCAATAAAGTGGTTGCCAATAATTCCTGCCCGTACGTTAACCGAAAATTGGTATTAGAAACGGATTTCGGTTACGGCATAGGGATTTTCTTCTGCCCAGAAATGATTATTGTGGAAATTCTGAATCACATTTCGAGAAAAATTAGCTTCGTCCGTGAACAGAATCATTGATTCAAATTGCGGATTTTGTGTAATTTTTTTTAGATACCACTGACAAAAGGTCACACGCCTTGGAAAATCAGTGGGAAGTAATGCCTGTACTCTTAAAATATGATAAGGATGTAACAAAAAATCCACTAAAATTCTCCAAACAATTTGATGGCAAGTATTTACGTGACTAGCGATCTTCCTCGTACTCGTTTCAGGATTTTCTTCGACTTTGTGCAGCACTGCTTCCTCAATTTCAGGTGTTCTCACACTTAGAGGTCTACCGTCAGATGTTCCTTTTCAGACAGAACCAGTTTCAACAAGACGACGATGAATATTACAAAAGGTTCGACTATCTGGCAAAGCACGATCGGGATATCTCTGGTGATTAATCCGTCTGGCTTGCTCAGCATTATCGTCGGAAAGGCCATATACGTAATGCATTTGAATAATTCACCATTATTAACAAGATTGTAAAAACTAAATAATGAAAAAGATGTCACAGCGACCAGATTTGAACAACAGAGACTTGTCAGATGTCAAAAGCCAGTGACATATTCCAGAGCAACTAGATATTTATTGCTAAATTACATTCTTCAATTATTACATTAATTTTTTTGACAATAGAACGGTTTTTATTTTTTTGCTCAAAAATGCTGCATCGAAGGAAAACAATTGAAGAGGGATCATTTGTTTTAAATTGAACGGGGAATTGAAAAATAATTTATATTTTAGCAAAAACCATTGGCGTACGATTTATTTCTTAAAAAATAACGAAGTCAATACCCGTTCGCACGCCACTGTTAAAGCTAATTTTTTTTTTGCATTGAAAAATATACAACTTCATTAACTTTCATTTGTGGGCAGAAAAATCCCTATGCCGTAACCGAAACCCATTTCCAACACCAATTTTCGGTTAACGTACGGGCAAGAATTATTGGAAACTTGGACTTACCACAATTTTCTTAAACAACAGTTGTCTTTGCTGCTTGATGATGTTCCGTTAGTAATAAGAAACAATATGTGGTAAATGATGGTGCATCAGCGCATTTCAGTGTAGCGGTTCGTAATTATTTTCAAACTGTTTATCCAGATCGTTGGATTGGACGCGGTGGGCCCCAAGAATGGCCACCAAGGACCCCAGACCTCAACAGTTTAGATTTATTTTTGTAAGGCTATCTTAAGACACTAGTGTACACAAGTCTCATTAACACTGTAGAGGAATTAAGAGAAAGAATAGTTGCAGCTTATGATAGAATAAAAAACACTCCAGGGATATTTCTACGAGTGTGCAATTCCATGAGTAGGGCGGAAGCATGCATACTAAGTGAAGGGGGCCATTTTCAACAATTTTTGTAATCATTTCGTTGGCTTTAATGTTATGTTTTTTCAGTTGTTGTTGTTCATTACCCCTAATGTGTTTAGTGTTTCCAATTAAATTAATAATAATTTTGCAAGTTAGACAATAGAACGGTTTTTATTTTTTTACTCAAAAATGGCGCATCGAAGGAAAACAATACAGGAGAGATCATTTGTTTTAAATTGAACGGGGAATTCAAAAATAATTAATATCGAAGTCAATACCCGTACGCAAGCCACTGTTAAAGATAAAAATTATTTTTGCATTGAAAAATATGCAACTTTATTAACTTTCACTACTTATTAAATATCAGTGAAATATCTGAAGCGGTTCTGAAAATATTAATTAATTTCCATTTTTTCCTAAAACTTCAACAGCCCGAGTTTTTGTAACGAAACATTTTTGGACCATAGTTTATAAAGCAAACTAACACTAATTTTTCATGTAGATTGACACCCTTAAATATTCGCATATCATTAAGGAACACCCTGTAGATTGATAATTATGGTTTATTGTCTGAGGAATACAATCATTCTTAATGGCAAAGCTAATTTAAAACTAAACTATAACATAGTTACATATGTGGATCTTAAGAAGGTGAATTGTAGAACTCACACATGGTATAATATTGTTTACACAATAAGAAGTTATTAAGTTCACGGCGGAATATCTTTAAAATGCTAATTATTTTGATAGCATCAGGGAGACATGTACATTTTCAGACAATTATAAATTATTGAGTCTTTCACAAGTGTTGTTTTAGGTAGGTACTACTAAATTTTTCATTTAGTCTAATATTGTAACTTATATTTATTGCTTCAAATTTAGATTTATTTTTAAAAATATTAATTGATGTTTCTAAAATGAACAATGATTCGATTGTCATTATTTTAAGATTTACAAATAAAGACCTTCATGTAGTTCTAGGATCGCTTTTAGTTATGCATCTAGTTGTTCGTTTTTGTAGAATAAGTACTTGTTTAAACAATTTTGGGAACAGACACATCATAGTAGAATACTATAACTCAATCAACTTTCAAAAAAGGCAAAGTAACCGCTTAAGGCTGTGCTTTTCTCTACGTTGTAACTAATAATTGTTCTTATAACAAAGGAAAGTTGAGTATGCTACTTGTCTACATGATTAGTATAATCTAATTTATGATGAATGGTCAGTCCCTAAAATTAGATGGTGTTTGTTTTGTGTTCATTATTAAAATTTATAAAACCAACGCAGAGTTTCACTGTCATAAATTTTGAATTATTAACACTGAAAGTTAAGTAACATCACTATTTTTCGTCATTAAAAACTACGTATTTGCCATTTATGTTTAATTTTATTAAACCATTGATGTAAACTAAAAATAATAGTTTAAAAAAAATTAAAAACACGCTTTTATAGCTAACCGAACTAAAAAGTAGAAAAAATGTTTAATTACAAATAATTTATATTACAGTAGTAGATGGTCCAACAATCAATCATAATTAATCACGATAAAATATAATTATAATAAAATTTGTGTTATTAACTGAATAATTCAATTCAGAGTAAAAAGCGTGGGATGCATTTTACTAAATTTTAATAAATCTCCTCTCATAGATAGTTGCTAATAGAATGATTGTAACATTTAATATACCAAGCACTCCACGCTTTTTATTCTGAATTGAATTATTCTGTTAATAACTTAAATGTTCTTATAATTTTATTTTGAGGTCATTAATTATGATTGATTGTTCGACCATCTACTACTGTAATACAAACTCTTTCTAGTTAAAAATTATTTTCTACTTTTTAGTTTGGTTAGCTATAAAAGCGTGTTTTTTAGTTTTTTAAACTATTATTTATTTTTCATTTTTTAGTTCGATTTATCAATTAATTAGTTTTTTGTGGACATGTGGTATTGAAATATCTTACGAATCATTTTGAAATCTAATCATTTCATTTAAAGCTTCACTGTTGCATGGGGTTTTCCTGTTAACATAGAGCAATCAAGTTCTTCAATCCGAATACCGTCTAAAGATCTTTCACGACTAAGTGCTACATAAGCTTATCCAGCAGCCTAGATAAATCACTGCATGATAGACTGTACAACCTTGCATCTTATGGACGGTTGAAGCTCAACTCAGTTCCATAGCTATATTTCGCTGGGAATTGTATTGATATCGGTTTAATCATGTGCACATCATGTGAACGCGTAATTTGCGTGTATTAGTCATTAGTACTTACGCATGTATAATGAATGAAAAAGGTGAGAATTCACTACCTTGAAAAAGTATCTGCCTCCGTTGTGCTCTGCCGAGTGCGTGTTAAAAATAGGACCGGACCTAATACCGATCATTGCGGTACCGCTGCCTTTATATTTAATTCATTTGAAGCATAACGTTTTGATAATTTTACAATTTACAATCGATTATTTAGATATGTTCTGGAACAAATGCTTAAAGTTCCAGTACAACCGTATTTTGTTATTTTTTTAACACTATTTATATCATAATTTACACAGTCAAAAGCTTTGGAAAAGTCGCAAGAAGTGTCTATTGAAATTATTTACCGTTTAAACTTGACTATAATTGTTAGAATAATGAGAAAATAGCATCTGTGGTATTTTTTGTTTTTGAAAATCAAATTTTGTTGGTTTCAGAAAGAATCTTAATCTAATTTGAACTATTTTTTTGCTATAACAGTAATTAATGTTATAACTTTTTTATAGATCTTAACACTAATTGGAGTTCATAAATGTCGGTAGGATAGAGTAAAAATTTCTGATCTATATTTATATGGTTTAGAATTGTTAATGGATCATCAGTATTTTGTATAGTATTTTATATAATCCTATATTCGCGCGTCTAAAATATTATCCCACATAAAACGAGATACCGTAGCGTCATCTATGAGAATTTGTCACAGCAGATTATGTATTTACTATATGGATGGTGTAGTGAACAAATGATGTAGGGGATTTTCTTTTACAAATCACTGATCCACAAGAAAATAATAATAAGAAGTGAAGCATCGAATACACAAGTGTGGTAAGTGATAAATACTTTAAATGAAATGCTTATAAATTTTATAATACTTCTGGCGCCACCTGCCTGTAGGTGCAAGTAATTGTGGAATGCAGATTTCCGAGAGCCAATATTATAAATTTACTCAGTACATAAGTACTTTAGCTTTGTTCTTATTACATTTGTTAATTTCTACACCTTTGATATATACTTTGAAAAGATGACACATAGATGGCGCTGCCTATACGCTCGTATATGCTCATAGAGTTGAGAGCTAGCTAAGAGGCCTAAGCTACATTTTGTACACTAAACAATATTTTTTATTCTAAAAGATAAAAAATTGTAGGTAAAGGTGAGTTGTGAAGTGGTCGAAGCAAACATCTTCATGCACGACAGTAAGATTTCATTTGGGGAAGTCTTCATGAATTTACAAAAACAGGAAATAGTGAAGATAACTAATAAAAGTCCATATACTGTTAATTTTTATTGGAGCTTGTACAGGTCTAATGCCATTGATGCGTTAGAGAAAAACAGGTCAGTAGCTCAATAGTAAGTGTATGTAGTGCTCTTTTACATTTCATGTTTTAAGGGTGTCTTTTATTTTTTCTTTTTATTCCTCGAAAAACCATGTCACTTCACACGTGGCTCTAAATTTTTCACTCACTATATAAAACCGCGTGCGTGCTTGAGAGCAGTTCCAACTCGACTGATTGATTGTACATCCAGAGAGGAAGGGCTGTACATAGGAGCACTCATAGACGTCAGTAGCATGTAGGAAATTTTGATGTAAGCCACTTTCTTCTTAGCCCTAAAAAAATAGCTTAGCTTTTTCCCAGAAGCTGCCACTATTGACGAGACGTGTTCGTGCCAGATCAGGTCGTCGGTGATCTGAACTCCGACTAGCCGAAATGAATGGCTTTTTGGCAGAACTCGGCCATCCATCGAAACCGAATGACGTTGTGAGATGAAGAGGGGAACCTGTGAATTAGGACGGATATCTTGCGACCAGAGATAAAGTCAGCGATCCATCTGTAAAGCTTTTCTTGGAGGCCATAGGATGGAAGTTTGCTTAAGAGGGCAGCGTGCCACAGCTGATGGAACGCTTTCGTAATGTCAAGAGCAACTACATGAGCCTCACCATAAGACTGAATGAGTTTACTCCACAACTGCGTGACGTAAGCAGAGCTATAGGCCTGTAGTTGTAAGGGTCGGTCTTAGCTCCTTTTTTGGGTATGGGTTGGACATGAGCAAATTTCCAGTTTTCTGGAAAGGTGCCGGATTCATAAGACATCTGGAAGAGGCGCGAAAGAACTGGAGCAAACTCCGCTGCACACCTCTTCAGTACAATGCCAAGAGTCAAGTCCGGACCAGAAGCTTTGTTGATGTCGAGCGACAAAAGCACTCGTCTTACGGTCTTATGCCTGAATGTTACCTCCCGCATAGTGTAGGGTACCCTTTGAATTGACGGCACTTTGGCGTTGGGAGGACGTCCATGGTGGAGTTGGCAGCAAAGACCTTGGCAAGCACTTCCGACACATAAGTGGTGGAAGGCCACTGTGTGAGAAGTTCTTTTCAATCTGCTAGGCCAGCGTTCAGAAAGACCGACTGCCATTGCGCTGCGACATTGGCCTGTGCCTAACTTTTATATCGTGCTGGTTTTTGGCATTGCAAACCGCGTAATAAAAGATTACAAAAAAAATACATGGTTTCCAAAAGAACCCTTCCCCATATTCCTTGTGAGGTCGAGGGATATGCAATTAAGTGGACTTTCTCTCAAAAACTAAGCAGGATGCAAAGAAAATTCGAGAGAAAAAAAGTTGTATTTCTATTTGCTTAATCCAAAGGACATAATAAAAATTGCGCAAAAGACAGTAACATACACTTTTTTGTTACAAATATTTGTTCAGATCCTACTCAAGACGAAACTGCATTGAATAAATTTAATCAAGCTAGGGCTAAATTAGCTCTTTAATGTTCAATATAATAAATCCTCTCTGGAAAATAATTGGATTAGCATCAACTGCTGGAACATTTCTGTTAAAATAAGTTTGGTATATACACCACTCACATATGATAATGATATATTTCTGGATAACCTTGCGAGCATGTTGTCAACATTCCCAAAACATCATATTATTGTGGGAGAATTCAATATTAATCTATTACGGTCATTTCCGTCGGTCTGTCAGGCGGTTTGTCGGTCTGTTTGTCTGCTTGGGTTTCGATGACATTTTCTCACAAGATTACTATTACGCCAAGGATGAAAAATATTTGTAGTTTTTGAAGATCGGTCCAGTAATGGCGGACAAAAATGCCAAAACCGAAAAAAATGAAAAACGCTCGAACTTCGTTTTTGAAAAATCCTTTATGAGCAAAAGTTGGGGGGTGTAGGGGAGGGATGAGATATCTCATTTTTCATGTTGTTTATACGCTCCGAACCCCGGTAATTCTACGCACCCATTAGCCATATTTCATCTAGTCAACGCCAAACAAAGTGGCGTGCACGTCATCAAGGTGGGTGTGTTGAAAAATTTACATTGTCGCCAAACTTTTTGTAAAATAATAAAATTTATTATTTACATATCTAGGTTTATAAGCAATATTAACCTCAAATGAGAACAAAAATAATAGTATAATAAAATTATAGATCTGTACTTGCATAATCATTAAGTATGACAATTATTGATCAGATGACACTATGAAACTACCATATTTAATTGATAGCTTAAAGGTACTGAATAAAAATCCAAATGGGGTCCTCCAAATTTTATGCATGGTATTATTTTACAGAATTCATACAGAAAAATGCATTCTAAAATTAGGTAAGCTACTGGTGTAAGCTTTTTCTGTACAATAAAGTTAGTCGGAGTTTCTTTCTTCAGCGCTGTCTGAATCTGAATCTTCATCACTCTCAAAGTTGATTATTAAAGGTTCGATGTCTGGTCGATCAAAAATTCGTTCTCTTTCATACCATTTAAAAATTTCTTGCTCAGTATGTCGAACACAATTTTTCCACATGTCTGGGGTAACCGTTTGTAGAGCCTCGTTCCACATATCCAAACAGTCTTTTTCACTGTTACCATCTCTACCAATATGTCTGTTATAGTAACCTTTTGCTATGCCCCAAATTAACTCAATAGGGTTAAATATACAATGGTAAGGAGGCAGACGAATAACTTTGTGCCCATGTTGTTCCGCCAATTCATCAATCACGTATATTTTAGGTGGTTTGTTTCTAAAAAAGCAGTTATTTTAAGAATAGGAATAAAGAAAAGAAATATAAACTGTCGACCAAAATATATATAATTAAGAAGCATTATGTACCGAGCAACAATACTCAATAGCTCTGTTTTAAACATTGTGTTTAAAAATGGTATGTTTTGATTTGTCAACCAGTCTTGGATATTTTTTTTTTGTCCATGCATTGTTGGGCACTTTGTTCAATATCATGCTGTGATAAGGGGCGTTATCCAGTATAATCATAGATGGACTCTCCAATTTTTCTAATAACTGATGTTGAAACCATTTCAAAAAATTGTCCTGGTTCATCTCTCCATGGTAATCGCTCAATTTTGTTTTCGAAGAAAATATCGCTTCACTACCCTCAATAAACCCATTTTCATTTCCAGCATGTAATATAATGTATCTAAAATATATTAGTTTTAAATTTTATAGTGCAAATTGTGTAAAAGTACATACCTTTTACCATCTGTTTTAATATCTTTCACGCTTTTTTGGTTTCCATTTTGCCAAGAGCGACCTATGGTCCCATTTTGAAATATCCAAGTTTCATCGAGGAAGACAAACTGGTATAAGGCCTCAACCTTGGCTTGATTGTATTGCCTTAGAAATTCCACCCTTTTCAAAGCTATACTTGGTAGTTCCATGAGCCCTCGTCGCGGATTGTCCTTAAGCCACTTAAATCCAAGATCTCTAAGCAACCGCCTTAAAGACGTGGCACTACCATCAAATAATGCCCTATCTCTTAATCGAGACCATAAAGTTTGTATCGTAACTTGTTCTTCTGAAACCATGTGTAATATGACATTATAATTTAGTTAACAAATTAATGCAAATTTCTGATAAGTTATTATAATAAGATCTTACTTTTGTGATACATATTATAGATCACTTCTCGAATGGCACTTGTATCCAATGTCGCTGTGTTGGTTACACGTTTAATATAACTCCGCTTTTTCTTGGGCGATTCTAAATTTGCATCACTTTTCACACCCTCGGAAATACGACTAACTGTCCTTAAACTAATTTTTAAAGCAGCAGCAACACGCTACAAAAAATGAAATAAAATTTCACTATTATTAATATACATTACATATAATTATTAGTAACCTACCTCTTGAACAGCATTTAAAGGCAACAAAGGCCCGTTGTTGTCCCTTTCTTGCTCAAAGTAGTGCATTAACGAGGCCACGAGTTCCTTACACCGACTATTTAACTGTTTGGGCATCTTTATATACCAAAATTGCCTTTATCTACTCGTAAAATGAATAATTTTGTTTTGAAACAAACAGTTGTTGATTTACAGTATGCGGGGCCAAAGGATTTATAAAGATTTGAAATGCCACAAATTGATTCAGTGTCAAAATTAATACAAATGTCAGTTCCCAGTTTAAATAAGTTTCAAGGTAACAATGTGTCAACGCTGCGAAATCGGTTTAGTGCGTTTACATGTCGATAAGTGATTGGAGCGTTTGCAAAACATTTTATTTCGCATAATGCGTCTAAATTTATCAGAAAGCAACTTATGTGATATTTTAAGAACAATGTTTATATGACTATTAACCATAATAAGAGAGTAATGACCATTTTACAATTTATATATCACATTAATATGAAACTGCAATAGAGCAATTGTTTGTGATAGAAACCTAGGCATTAGGTCGGGGAATTTTTATCGTGATAACGTGCACGCCACTTTGTTTGGCGTTGACTATACATCATGTGTTTCTCGTACATTTATCTTGATAGAGAGATGTTTTCGATATGCGTCTCCTTCTGCTATCTGGATTCAGCGACCGGCGTAACGGTCTGCTTGATGCTTCTGTTGGTACTGCGGCTGGGCTTCGGTGGCGGCTGCCACGCAGGCACAACCGGTAGCGTAGGGAAAGCATGTCTGGATTGGTTCTATGTGCCTGTTTGACAGACATGATGTGTTTAATTTCTCTATTGTACCTGTTCGTAACTATTTTTTTTCTCAGAGTGTTTAACTTGTGCTGAACTTAATTATTCTTTATGCACTGATGACGGCGCTGAGTGGGAACTACACAGTCAATCTAATCGGCGCAATTTTTTATACTGTTTCTGACACGGCAATCTTGTTTTTGCTATCCATAGTTTCTTTAATCATTTCAGGTTATCAGGAGCAATGGAAGGTATGACAAACCTGATGAGAACTAGGCACACTAAGTTGGAATTTATGAACATAATTGATGCAGAAGGGCATAACACAGTTATTGAAGATCAATGTAAAAAAGCAAAACAAGAACTTGATGAAAAATGGCGATTTCTTTACAAAAACGAAGTTTTCACTATTATTCCCAATGTAAGGATATTATAGACAGAGAAACAATTATCGTTTTTAATTGAGTAGATATCATTTGTTCTGTACATTAAAACCAAAGTTGAAACAAATTAGTACACAATTATAATGAGACTTTAAGTTCGATATTTCTCAACCTTTGCTTTTGCACTCCTATCTAGCACTACAAATTATCAGATTTATAGTTTCGAATCCCATCCTTCCCATTTTCAAAATTTTGAATAAATTCTCATTATACGTAATATTATAATAATAATTTCTCAAACATTATTTGTAATTTGTAGGAGGGTGTCCTGCATCCAAATCAAACGCTCGAATTTATGGTTGTGTTCAATCCCAAAATAAACGACTATTACAGCAGCTGGGCGTATTTGGACATTGGTGGTAAGCCGGAAAGGCTTCCTCTAGCATTGTCTGGTGTCGGCAAAGGCCCCGTAGTAGTGTTCAACACTAATACGTTGAATATTAGCAATGTTTATATGAATGCAAGGCATGAGTACCAGATCGTAGTTAAAAATGACAGTAAGTGTTACCCCTTCTTAGAAAAAAGATAGCTACGAATAAGTATAACAAAAAAATTATATAGATCCAGGCCGTCTATCAGGCCTATACAATAGTCTAGTTGGCACTTTTTTAAGTAGGTCTTAAATAATTAATGTTCATTCTATTAAATAAAAAAAAACTATATTTTTGGGACCTAAAAAACCGCAAAACCTTTAAAAATATATTTTTCTTAGATCGGCGAAAACGTTGCCCGCCATGTTTGACACATACAGGGTGTCCCAGAAGTCGACGTCAAGCCGAAACCGGGTGATAGGCAAAGTCATAACAGCTATCAGAAAAATATTTAAAAAAATTTTCTGTATGTGTTTTGAAAATTATAGGTCTTTGAAAAAAATATAGATATTTCACACCCTACGGCAGTCTGTCAACTCCTGTTACGACAAATATTAACTTTTTTTGGATTTTATTTTTACAATGTAATGATGAATAATGCATCTTCAAACTGGTGTCTCAACCTTACTGCCAACTTTTCTCGTTCAGGAAAAATTGCCACTTATTTCCCAACCAAGTATTCCAAAGTAAAACTTTGCTCAACTTTAACTGGCTGTACTGGAAAAAAATGTACTACGAGAGCTTGGCAAGTAACCTTAAAAGTTGGCGCATTTCATAACGATTCCAAAATGGTATAACACTTAGAAAATTACTCGTTAACTTATGCACAATTTTTATTTGAAGAAAAACTGATGAAAATTTTTCAAAATTTCCTAATTAAACAGCGATTATGAAAACGCACAAGGACCCTTAAGGATAACTGTTTGCACAACAGTGGGCGTCAAAATGCTGCTGATGATGATTTACCTTTACAGCAAATGCTCAAACTGTTTTCCTTCAGCCGCAATACACGCTCGACATCTTCTTAAAAAAGATCGGGTTATTAAACGAGCGAATCCACGGTTATTAACAAACTCAGCTGCTTCCAATAGTCTTTGCCGTAGCTCAGCTACATTTTGAATCGGCTTGAAATACACTTTTTCTTTTACAGTTCCCCAGTAAAAAAATCTAAAGGATTCAAATCAGGTGATCGGGCTGGCCACGGTATTGTACCAGACCGCCTTATCCATCTGCCTGCAAAGGTTTGATCGAGATACTCTCTCACTGAGAGTGCATAGTGCGCTGGGCAGCCATCATGCTGAAACCACATGTCCCTGTAAATACTCAGTGGCACGTCCTCCAATAAATTTTCTAAATGATTTTGCAAAAACCTAAATAAACCTCAGCAGTCAAAGTCTCTGGGAACTCAAACGGACTGATTATTTTACCAATTAAAATTCCTGTCCAATGGTTTATCTTGAAGCGATATTGAGATTTATCTTCTCTCATCAAATGTGGGTTTGCTACGTGCCACTCGTGTAAGTTATGCAGGTTCATGTACCCATCTTTCTTAAATGTGGTCTCATCCGACCATACAATTTTTTCAAAGAACTGTGGATCTTTCCTGTGTCTTCCTAACATTGTGCGACAAAAAGCAACTCGGGGCTCATAATCCCGGGGCAGGAGAGGTTGAACACGCTGTATGTGGTATGGATGAAGCACATCACTTACTTGCTATTGCACACTTTGATACCGATCAGTACTCCTTCGTTTACTGCGCATCTTTACATGTTCGTGCTTGTTGATTTCGTACTGTTACTAATTTTGGATTCGTGAACTGGACTGTTGATCGCTTGTGATTTGGATTTGGACTGTTTAATTGCTCTTCAAAACAACATTTGCTTTCCTTAGACTATCTTTGATAGTGTGATTGTGCAGTGCCGCTATGTCCGTGTACACCGTACAAGAATATGCTAACATGCACCTCATTTATGGGGAATGCAGATACAACGCTAGTGCTGTAGCGAGACTTTACTGTGAGAGGTACCCGAATGCAGCTCGTCATCCAGATTATCGAGTGTTCACAAATGTGCACCGCTTACTGTTCTCAGAGGGCCAACTACCAAACCAATCACACGGTGAGGGAAGATCTTTCCTTCCTTACGAAGACGTGGTGCTAGGAGCTGTCGAAGAAGACCCGAGTACTTCAGTGCGTGCAATAGAACTAAAAACAGGTGTGCGCAAAAGTACAGCCCATAGAATCTTGCAAAAAACGTGCTCCATCCATACCACGTACAGCGTGTTCAAGCTCTTCTGCCCCGAGATAATGAGCCCCGAGTTGCGTTTTGTCGCACAATGTTAGAAAGACACAGGGAAGATCTACGGTTCTTTGAAAAAATTTTGTGGTCAGATGAGACCACATTTATGAAAGATGGGTACATGAACCTGCATAACTTACACGAGTGGCACGTAGCAAACCCACATTTGATGAGAGAAGATAAATCTCAATATCGCTTCAAGATAAACCATTGGACAGGAATTTTAATTGGTAAAATAATCAGTCCGTTTGAGTTCCCAGAGACTTTGACTGCTGAGGTTTATTTAGGTTTTTGCAAAATCATTTAGAAAATTTATTGGAGGACGTGCCACTGAGTATTTACAGGGACATGTGGTTTCAGCATGATGGCTGCCCAGCGCACTATGCACTCTCAGTGAGAGAGTATCTCGATCAAACCTTTGCAGGCAGATGGATAAGGCGGTCTGGTACAATACCGTGGCCAGCCCGATCACCTGATTTGAATCCTTTAGATTTTTTTACTGGGGAACTGTAAAAGAAAAAGTGTATTTCAAGCCGATTCAAAATGTAGCTGAGCTACGGCAAAGACTATTGGAAGCAGCTGAGTTTGTTAATAACCGTGGATTCGCTCGTTTAATAACCCGATCTTTTTTAAGAAGATGTCGAGCGTGTATTGCGGCTGAAGGAAAACAGTTTGAGCATTTGCTGTAAAGGTAAATCATCATCAGCAGCATTTTGACGCCCACTGTTGTGCAAACAGTTATCCTTAAGGGTCCTTGTGCGTTTTCATAATCGCTGTTTAATTAGGAAATTTTGAAAAATTTTCATCAGTTTTTTTCAAATAAAAATTGTGCATAAGTTGATGAGTAATCTTCTAAGTGTTATACCATTTTGGAATCGTTATTAAATGCGTCAACTTTTAAGGTTACTTGCCAAACTCTTGTAGTACATTTTTTTCCAGTACAGCCAATTAAAGTTGAGCAAAGTTTTACTTTGGAATACTTGGTTGGGAAATAAGTAGCAATTTTTCCTGAACGAGAAAAGTTGGCAGTAAGGTTGAGACACCAGTTTGAAGATGCATTATTCATCATTACATTGTAAAAATAAAATCCAAAAAAAGTTAATATTTGTAGTTGACAGACTGCCGTAGGGTGTGAAATTTCTATATTTTTTTCAAAGACCTATAATTTTCAAAACACATACATAACATTTTTTTAAATATTTTTCTGATAGCTGTTATGACTTTGCCTATCACCCGGTTTCGGCTTGACGTCGACTTCTGGGACACCCTGTATATTAATGTGCTCTGACGTCATACCATTTGAACAGCAACTGGCAGCAGCATTACCTCTCAATTTATTAGTTTAAATGAAAAATATAGAATTTACTGTTATTGTATCGTCCGGAAACACATCTATAAAGATCCCAGGAAGGCTGTGGATTAGAGTAACCAGAGAAATAAATATACGCAACATCTAGCTAAGACTTGCTCAAAGGGATCCTGAACCTTTATCCAATGTAACTAAAACTTATTTTTGCGAATATCACTTTCATATAGAAAAAATATTCGGAGGTTATGACGCATAAACTTAGTTTTGATTGTCTTCTGAAAAGGCAGATTATTCAGGTGTGATTCTTATCTTTCTTATCTCTATCACTATGTCAGATGCACTGTACTTACACAGAAGTCTTGATGTGCTTCAGTTCAGCAGGGCAGAACACTGAGAAGGCAAAAAAATTACCAACCATAAATGTGTCAATGTTTGTTGCATTTGTGCCTTCTGGTTTTACAATTTCAACATCCATGATTGATTTTTTCAACAAAACGAGAAAACTAACTAACTTTTTACGTTGATTAGGAATTTTTATAGAAATATTTGAAGAAGACAACATTACTCCGTGAGTGACATACAGATACGTTCCATTGTTTGACACACTTTTGGGCCTAATAAAAACACCGAATAAGTCAATAATAATAAACAAAATCGTAACCGTGTGAACAGTCCAAGAGAAATAGGAAGCGTACCACACTGTGATCTTTTTGCCCCGTGAGGACGTAGCTTTATCTGGTATTTAATATTATTCTAGGTCATATTCCTGCAACTGTGGTCTTCAGAGGAGGTAAAACAGAATTTGGTGGTGATATCGAATGCGTACCAACGACTAGATATTTATCTCATTTTGACAAATGTAAATCCTTTGTTATCAAATTTTCCTCGTCCGTACAAGGACAATTTGTAGAAAAAGTACAGTTTACCATAGAGGAGTCTACCGAAATCATACACTTTCTATTAATGTAAGTATGGTGAGGTATCTTGAGGTATGGACGTTTGTGACCAAATTGAAATTTTCAAAGTGTAATTTTCTAAATGTTTTTTTTTCAGTGGTAACGTTGTATGTCCACTCCTGAAACTTTCTACAAATGTAGTAGACTTTGGAGACATTCCATTTGGTAAGTTGTCCTTTACGTGCAACGTGAACCCAGCGAAAAAAACTTTAAATCAAAAATATGAAAAACTGTTCCATGGACAATTATTAATAATAAGGTATCAGCTTTTCAGTTTATCTATCTTTTTAATGGAACGACATACCGAGTATTTCAAAATCGACTCTCGCCATTGGGATATCGGAAACGGTAAGATATACGAAGATACGAAGTTGGTTAAATGCGGGCAATGTTGCGTATTTAGATAATCAACAAAATGCCACTTAGAAAGGTTCGAAATTCAAAGACCGGAGAAAGATTAGAATAAGCCGCACTTTAACAAAATTAAATTGCACGTTAACATTGCCACTTCTTCTCCTTTACATGAAGGCATAATTATAGTTTCAATATGACGTTCTGTCCCTTGTCCTCCAGCATCAACTTTGTTTTTTCTTTAGACGCGAAAAATGTATATTTCATACATTGGCATTGCCAAGCCTTAGTTATTTCAGAAACAGAACCAAACTTCCTAAGTAGTACTTGAAATTATCTGATAGTCATTTGTTTAGAATACCGGACCAGGCCTTAAATTGAACATAGTAACATAATTTGGAAGACTGAGAAGAAGAGAAATAAGCCGAGCAATGAACAAGGTACAAAGAAGAGTCAGGGTTTGCCTCCAACGGACAATGTTTTGAACATATACTATGATTTCCCTCTGCTTACTTATTATTGTTATTTCCATCAATAATATTCATTTCGTGTTCAGGTTTCACCATACCTATTTGGCACTTTACAATTTTCAACAACAGACTCATGGCCAACTAAGGAAATATATCACTGAAAATTCCATCTTGTAGAGGAGAAAATATGACAATGACAAAATGGAATTTACTTTGAAATGCCGTCTCAAGCAAAGTCGAGGAAACATTATTCTGCGATAGATCTTGTATACGAAACAAATGACTGTCTGATAATTTCAAGGCGCACCTGAGATTTTCAAATAACTAATATTTGGAAATGTCAGTATACTCGTAAGGCATATTATACATTTTTAGAATTAGAATTAAAAACCATCATATAGAGAGAATAAGTAGCAACGACAACATGCAATTTATTTTAAAATCCCATCTCAAATAGTCGGGAAAAAATAAAACTGATTTTGAGATAAATCTGGAATGCGAAACAAATGACTATCTCATAATTTCAAGGGCTATCTAGGAAATTCTGCTTTTTTTTGGAACAAATAAGGTTTGGCAATGTCAATGTATGAAATATTTTACATTTTTGGAATCAGACTTAAAAACTATATTCATCTGCGCAAAAATCCAATATGGCGTCTAGAAGAAAAAATAAGCTTGATGCTGGAGGGCAAAAGACCAAACGTCAGATTGAAATTCTAATTATGCCATCTTGTAAAGGAGAAAAAGTAGCAATGCTAATGTAGAATAAATTTTGAAATCTCACTACGAATAAAGTCAGGAAAATTCGTTTTTCCGTCTCTCTCCGGAAGTATTTTGAATGAAATTTCTAAGCGGCATTTTGTTAGTTACCTAAATTCTCAGCTTTGCACCCATTAAGCGATTTTATATCTCTTACCGTGTCCGAGAAAGCAATGATGAAGGTTGAATTTGAAACACCCGGTATATCAAATTTTTATTTGAATATATTTTTGGTGAAAGTTATGTATGAAAAATAATATCTTATACGTCCAAATCTGGAAGCCGCGTAAACATGAGCCTTTTTTATTATGTTTTCTGTCATATTTTGTGGGTTTCGAGTTTCAGCGCCCAGCTGCCATGTTGAAATGTTTAGCTTTACATTAAAATATAGCATTTTGTGCATCAATTCTAATTCTCCGAATTTCAGCTTGCTAACTTTTAAAAAATGAGTAGTAGGGCGCTTTTTCAAAAGCACTGTATACTGACTTTTAACGGACTAACTTTTTAGGAGAATGTGCCTTCCAAGAGTTTCAGTTGGTTAATGAAGCTCAGGTTCCAATAAATTACTCGATTTCGGTTGAAGATATGTCAAACACAAATGTAGAATGGTCTTTAGGAGAACATGTTGTCCAGCCTTACTCTAATATCCCCATATTGGTAAATTACCCATTTTTTATTTGGAAGCATCATTTTTAATAAACTGTAAGTTGGACTTTTTTTAAAAATAACTATGCTCGGACAAACACCTATTATTTGGTTAAATAGTATGGCAAAAGTGAAAAAAATAGAGGCAAGTAGGTTGGCGCTGTACTTCATTACTTTCATACCTAAAGCCAGAATCAAAATAAATCGATCAAAGCAATTATTGTATGCGAGATATAGAGTCCACCTACTTGATACCAAGTTAATTCAAAAGACTGCGACGTTGAATTTACGTACTTACTCGCTCTGTTTTTGTACAAGGCGCGCGGCACCTGGTTTGGTTTGATGCAGGTCGTATCAGGGTCGCTTAAAATATTGATTTATGGAACCTTAGATCTCGATCATCTTAAAACTTCGTATATATATATATATATATATATATATATATACCAAAAATGATTTGGATACTGACGCAGGTCGTAACTTTTCAACCAATTCTTTGTTGAAGGCATCAGGATAGCATAATATCGTCAGTGACATTAGAAGTGTTACACGAGTGATGGTTTGGGGGGCTACTGCCTATGGTAGCCGATCACCTCTTCCCTTTGTTCAAGGCAATATGACTGCTGTGCAATATGTTGATGTCCTACAAACCACTTTACTGCCGTATCTCGAGCGCCGTTCACAACCTCTTTTTCAGAAAGGCAATGCCCCATGTTGCTCTTGGTACTACGGACTTTCTTCAAGAAGCAGGCGTTAATGTTTTGCCGTGGAAACCTCGTTCACCGGACTTAAATCCCATCGAATATGTGTGGGATATGATGGGGAGGAGAGACACAGACTCTGCCATAGCTAAACCATGAAGTTCGAGTTGCTTGGAATGAGGTGCCACAACCAGACATCGATGATCTCATTTTGTCCATGCCTAGATGTATTCAGGAGTGTATTCAGCTACGGGGTCACACAACACATTTTTTTCCTTATTACTTGTTAATGAAATTTCGTGAGAATGTTATCGTTTCATTCTTGAAGTAAGACTAACTTATTGCCAAGTTGAAGAAATTGTTTTTTCTGGGTGTAACACTTCTAATGTCACTGAGTGCGAAAAATGATTTGGATACTGACGCAGGTCGTATCTTTTTTTCAACTAATTCTTTGTTGAAAGGATCAGGGTAGCATAAGATATTAATTCTCGGAACCTCCAGGTCATCTTAAAACTTCGGTGTATGGGCACTAAGATCAAAAAAATGGTTAGGATACTTACCCTGGTCCTATTTTTTCACCTTTATTCTTTATTGAAGGTATCAGGGTAGCATTAGATATCGATTTTTGGAACCTCATATTTCGGTCATCTTAAAACTTCGGTGTATGTGTAGTATGTGCGAAAAATGGTTTGGATACTGACGCAGGTCGTATCTTTTCAACTAATTCTTTGTTGAAGGAATCAGGATAGCATAAGATACCGATTTCCGGAACCTAATATCTAGGTGATCTTTAAACTTCGGTGTATGTGTACTATGTGCGAAAAATTGTTTGAATACTGACGAAGGTTGCATCTTTTCACCAGGGTCGCATTAGAGATCGATTTTCGGAACGTAATATTTCGGTCATCAGAATACTTTGGTGTATGTGTACTATGTGTGAAAAATGGTTTGGATACTGATTCAGGTCGTATATTTTCACCTTTATTCTTTACTGAAGGTATCAGGGTCGTATAGGGTATCGATTTTCGGAACCTAATATCTGGGTCATCTTAAAACTTAGAGTATGTGTTCCTTTTGCGATAGAGGGTTTGAATTCTAACACAGATCGTATATTTTCACCTAATTTCTTGCTGAAGGCATCAGGACCGCATGCTCTATCGATTTTCGGACCCTAACGTCTCGGTTATCTTAAAACTTCGGTGTATGTGCGAAAAATGGTTTGGATACTGACGCTAGTCGTATCTTTGCACCCAATTATTTGCTGAAGGCATCAGGGTCGCATTAGATATCGATTTTTGGAGCCTAAAATCTCGGACATCATAATATATACTTTGGTGTATGTGTACTATGTGCGTAAAATGATTTGCATACTAACTCAGGTCATATGTTTTCACCTTTATTCTTTACTGAAGGTATCAGGGTCGTATAGGATATCGATTTTTGGAACTTAATATCTGGGTCATCTTAAACATTCGAAGTATGTATGTGTTCTGTGTGCGATAAGTGGTTTGAATTCTGATGGTAGTATCTTTTTACCTTATTCTTTGCAAAAGGCATCACAGCCGTATGATATATCGATTCTCGGAACCCAAAATCTCGGTCATCTTAAAACTTTGGTGTATGTGTCGAATGTGCGAAAAATGATGTGGATACTGACGTTAGTCGTATCTTTTCTCCTAATTATTTGCTGAAGGCATCAGGGTCGTAGTAGATATCGATTTTCGGAGCCTAAAATCTCGGTCATCTTAAAACTTTGGTGAATGTATTCTATCTGAGGGAAATGGTTTGGTTACTGACCCAGATCGTATCTTTTCACCTTTATTCTTTATTGAAACTTCGGTGAATGTGTACTATGTGCAAAAAATGGTTTGGATACTAACGTAGGTCGTATCTTTTTCACTAATTCTTTGCTGAAGGCATCATGGTCGCATTAGATATCGATTTTCGGAATTTCGGATATTTTAGAGCTTGTTGTACGTGTTAGTAAGTTCGAAAGATAAAGGTGACACGCCACCGGCGCCAACCTCGACGCTACCGACCCTTACGCAAGGAAGCAGGAAACTACACTTTCCTGGCATCTCTGGATG